AAAAAATAGTAATCACTTTATATTTTTTTTTATCAATTATTCTAATGTTCGAGATTATATCATGGAAGATTATGGTTGAGTTTATTATTATTATTATTGGCTAAAGTAGGAGGCTGACACGTTCAGTAACATGTGAATGTTCTACTTTAATGAACGTGTAGAATTTCGCTAGTTTTCATAAAATGTAAATATCTCAATGTTAATTTAATTAGAATCGATAACTGACTAGTTTAATTACACATAAACCCAAATGTGTTGTGACCCCTTTTTTTTAAATATACACTTAGTCGTTCTATAAAATCTGTCTTGAAGTTTATGAAACGTTGGACACACACTCGTCCGTAATTGGGTATCACGGTTAATTATTTAGTTAGTTGAATTTATTTTTGGCTTCTTAAGTCTGTTAAAATTAGTTATCAACTGCGTGGAACCATTATAGTAGTTACCTTTCATGTCGATATATATATATATATATATCGACATGAAAGGTAACTACTATAAATGGTTCCACGCAGTTGATAACTAATTTTAACAGACTTAAGAAGCCGAAAAGAAATTCAACTAACTAAATAATTAACCGTGATACCCAATTACGGACGAGTGTGTGTCAACGTTTCATAAACTTCAAGACACAGATTTTATAGAACGACTAAGTGTATATTTAAAAAAAGGGGTCACAACACATTTGGGTTTATGTGTAATTAAACTAGTCAGTTATCGATTCTAATTAAATTAACATTGAGATATTTACATTTTATGAAAACTAGCGAAATTCTACACGTTCATTAAAGTAGAACATTCACATGTTACTGAACGTGTCAGCCTCTTACTTTAGCCAATAATAATAATAATAACCCAACCATAATCTTTCATGATATAATCTCGAACATTCAGAATAATTGATAAAAAAAATATAAAGCGATTACTATTTTTTCAAGTAAAACAAAACGCGAAACGATTTCATTGCAAAAAGAAAAAAAATCAATAAACACATTCCTGATATCACTTTAATTTACGAATAAATACAAAAGACAATAAACAAAATATTTCATTCGTCTCAATTTTTTTTGTCGATGCGTGACAATATAGGTGTTGATGAGCGAAGCCGAATTCTGGTGTGACTAGCATATATATATATATATATATATATATATATATATATATATATATATATACATGGCAAGTGAGGACTTATTGACATACGATAACAATTATATAAATTGAAAACAAATGAACAAAGCCTAGAAAAAAACATTCGCATTCAATAAATATGCATTAGAAAATAGTACAGCAAATAAATCAGATGTCCATTTCATATAATCAGAAGTGGAATAAACACACAGTTAACTGTACGAATAAAAATTGATACTGTAGAGTATGAAATTATCCAAGTATTCGGATATAGTTACAGAGTTGAGTTTAATCGGTTAAAACTAGATTGACCAAAAATGGTTATTTCAAGCTAAACTTGATGATAATTAAAAGAACAATTTTATCGTGATTATTTTGATTATAATTAAAGCTTTAAGAAACTACTTCGTAGCACCATTAAACGAAATAAACATGGTCCCACATTAAAGAAAATTCCATTTTTCACTAGTTCATTTGAACTAAAGCTGTACAATTGTATTTCTAAAGTTATTTTACAGAAAACTATTTTATAACAACATAGGAGGAGTCATGGATGCTCACCGCTGATGCGTTTCATACCAGGACGAAACGGTCGTCTAGTGTTTCCAGGTTTCTAATGATCGTCTAACATTGACTGATTGATGATTTCAAATGTGTAAAAAAAAGTCCCATATCTCGAATGAAATATACGTAGATTATCTCTTCTTCATTTAGATGTTATTCACAATCGCGTTACACCGAGATGATTAGGTAGCTTTATTCAAAACGCATATATATATGGTCAATCATGTAAGCGATTTCTAAAATTAATACAAATCATTATTATATGCATAAGATAATTGTGTAAATACAATCTGAATAAAGTTTTATCAAATGGAATTGTCTACAAAGAAATTTTCTTTATTGAATTGTCAACATTATTATCGTGATTATTTTATTATAATGAGGTAATTGTTGACAGAAATTTACTCCAAAATAAACAAATACAATGAACTGAGAGATAAGAGAGAGAGACAACAAGGGCTACAGTGAACTAGTACCACTGTTATAGATTTGCATATTACGACTAAAGACATACTATATCGCTTAAATACAACTCCTCAAAACAATTAAGCAATATCAAAGCAAAAGAGACACACAGAGAGAGAGAGATGGAGAAGGAGAGAGAAAAGCAGCAGCATCAAAAAAAAGTAGCAATCAAGCAACTATACAATAAGATGAAGAAGAGAGTTAATTTTTCTAAGGAATTTCTAGTTCGCTTGCCAACTAGACAGAAATTGACCTAGAAATAGGACACTTATTGGTTTATTGTTATTATCATATAATTTTTTTTTTCACGGACAATAGTTAAAGTACATTGGTAACAACAATATTAAGGAATGTGAATAGAAGCTGAAGAATAGTCCATAAGTGAAAATATGATCAATAAATTAGCAGTAGAATAAACATTATCAAGGTATTTAGATTAATTTAACACATCGAAAATTTTATATTGAAAAATGATAGGAAACAATGAATGAATGAATGAGGTGTGTTGCGATTCAAGTGTATTCAATGCCTAGCAGCCGGTATCCTCTACACACGAGTTACATACACCAATCGGCTCACTCAGTGTTCCTAGAATACATGAACAATGCATTCGAGTGCATCTGCTATTAAATACTAGCAACTTATAAATACCCTCTAGGAGGAGTAAAGGTTATGTTTCACAGTTATAACATTTAACAAAAAGGACTTGGTCAAATTATATATTGACAATTCCAACATTATATACAGTTATATGTAATATGAATTTGTATTACTTTTCTTTTTGACTTCTGAACAGAAAATTCGCTGTAAATTGGAAGGTAAATAATAGTGGTGGAGCTCAGAGAACGAAACTCCACCACAATCATCCACTAGAACTACACATTTTCTCCATCATCTCAAGGTAAATTGTATTTGAAGTGAAGCGACAAGTTGGTCAGCATCTTTTTTTTTAGTCGGACAGAAAATATGTTGTGCATTAGTGTTAAAAACTATTCTTCTAGGACTTACACAAGGTTGGTTAGTAGTTAATGAAAGATATTATCCAAGCGCACACAACGAATAGTTAGTGATGTTTATCGCGAACAACTATTTAGAATGTAATTCGTTTATATTATTTGATAGAAGTATTCTACATGAAACAATTGACAATCAAGGATAATAATCGCATCTTAAGTTAATTAATAAACAAATATACTTCTTACAAAACACGCATTTTTTTTTAATTACTTATTTTTTTTCATAAATAATTTCTAATCACGTTCAGTTCTCTCTTGATATTTTGAATGGAGGGGTGTTATTTTACTAGCAAACTAATACAAAATATAATTTGCTAAGTTTTTGTCCTGCTGCTTTTTATTTACACTTAATTGAAAAACTTTACAGTCAATAATTGAGTTTACGTGATAAACTGTCAATACCGTACACTTTATATCGACTGAAAAAAAAAATCAATCTCAGTGTAGATAGCACAAAGAACCGCTTCATATCAAAAACAATCCAATAACACTTCATCGTTATTCAAAAAGGCATAATATGTGGTTCACTAAATCATCGTACCAAAAATCATGATACGTTAAGAGAAAATAAAAAAGTGATGATATTCAAATGTTTATCAAAGGTCTATACTAATCAGAAAACTTCCAAAACTGCTAATATAGACTTTTTCTCTACACACATTCGGTATTTGCATGTAAGGAATTGGTGACTGAAAAACCTAGATTACATTTACAGATTTCTCAAACGAGGTTCATAAACTCCTTTATGATGGATTTAACTAAATCCAGTATTGTGGTGAAAACACAATGATTTTGACTAAGGCATACACACATTTGTGAGAGACTCTATAATGTTATGCCTATTGATAGATTCGTTTTGAGAATATGAAAGCATTAAAAGAACGATTCTCCAATCAACGTAGAATGGATTTGTCCAAGTGTTGATAAAGCTGAATATTTACAACTAACAACTCATGATAATTTAATGGATTTAAGTTTGGGCACAGTACATTATTCAGTTTATTGAAAGAGGTGCAAGAATTCGTATTTTTGTCGTTGATTAGAATATAAGACCAGGAGGAATAACAATATCGAACTTTATAGGATGAACAGTTTAGCTTCGAAGAAGCTGAGGCGCCAATATTTTCAATGTCATATTGATATACCAATCAGAGCACCGCTTAGGAAATTCTGGATTGTTATTATGATAGGCAAGCACGTCAATATAGCAGCTACGGCACTCAACATGAAATTAAATCATTTCAAAACGAACCGCTCGTTATTTCTAATTTGCACACTTCCATGAATATACAAACCTATTGATTCAATACATCAGTCAATTAACACATAACACTGGCATTATCATGGTCGAGTATCAAATCAACCGTCTGATCACACTCTTATCGCAATATGTTTTATAATTGTTCACTATGATTACGAACATTCATCAGATAAAACATAAAAAGTCACAAAGAATTCCTTTTCCTTATATAAAATATCTCGTTGTACTTTTTACTCTTCATTTTTAATGAATTCTTTTCCTCAATACTGATATGGTTTGGAACTGTTACAAATACCATGTTATATATATGAGGTGTATGTACTACTATTTCAGTAAACTGAAAAAAAAATTATTTTACATTACTGTTTTTCAATGAAACAATATACATGAATAAGAAATCCATAAAATATACTGTAACAATAAATCAACTACTTTTTTTTGGGCGTAGTTAAGTAACGACAGCCTATAGGTAAAACCTGAATTGTTTTATAGCTCCATGATACACAAAAAAAGGTTTACCAGATTTATGAAACAAATAATTTTAGGGTGAAATTCTAATATCATTATGACGATAATACTAATATTACTAACTTACTTGAAAAAACAACTTTCGTATCACTACTATTCATTTCATCTGTACCAACAGAAGATAGACCAGGTGATGAACCGCCGCCAGCTGTTGTAGACTGTGGAAATGAACATCTTGTAATTGGTGAATTAGTTGAACATAAAGGCATAGAATGTAATAAATTATTTTCATGCAACATACTCCATTCTTGATAGAGATTTTGATAATCTGAATTATTTCGATTTGAATGTGGAGTTTGAAGAGATGCAACATTGGTAACTGATTCTAATTCCTTGAAGATGGAAAAAAAAGTGATTTTTCTGAGAATGAGATGATTAAACATTGGTAGATGGATAAAAAAAAACTTGCAAATAGATTCACTTTTTATCCTTTTCTCGATTTCGAATTCAATTATTCGTTTACATAGAGATACCTTTCTATTCTGATTTTTTTGAGCCCCATAATCTTAATGTTCAGTCTTATACTTATTATCATAGCGACTAGGTCCACTCGATTGCTTTTGTTACTCACACTGTTAGTCTCATCTCATGGTGCAAATGTAATATGAAGAATCGGGTTAAATGCATATTTGTGCCAGATCTTGATGATTGATTACTATTGATTAGACCTGTATAAAAAACTACTTAATTGCAATTAAATTAAGTGAAATGATCACACTAGTTATGAGATTCTTAACAATAACATACAGATATAATTAGTCATATGAAAAATATTAATCGGGTGTAGTTTATTTATAGCGGTTAAAATTAGAAGTTAAACATTCCGAAGTGGTGACCTAGTAGCTAATTTACTCGCTTACCGGTTGGTAAGTTGAAAGTTTAAATTTTATCTTATCTAAGTGATACAATGATGGATGTTACTCACAAACTGGCTGATGAGTAGTATAGAACGGAGTGTCGCGTAGTTTTTATCAGAGAGGAGAGTCTGCAGATCAAAAGGCATCGCGCCACCAGACTATATTGTAGACCAGAGGAGCTGTGAGACAAGACAGTCAGTAATCTACTGTATTGCATATATAGTCTTAACTTCTTCATACGTCACACCATCACCCAACAAAAGTGTAGGTTAAAGTTTAATACATAAAGTCGTATCTACCATACGAGTAAACCAGGATCGTGAACCGAAGAGTTAATTAAATTACTATCAACGAATAGTCAGTTCAAATAAAGTGGCCGATCTAAATCCTGATATGGTGTCAGCAACCAACTGGTATAACTTATTGAAATTATGTATAATAGTCAGTTTTAATTGACACATTCCCCTCCTTCTTCATTAGGCGTATGCATTTAAACAAACACAAAATTCATTTTTTCATCAATCCCAATACTACACGATAAATTCGAAATATTAAGTATTACTGAATCAACATGATGAGACTATGAATAGAGTTAAATGTTGTCCGCATTTTTGTTCTAAAAACTCATAGACGAGGAATGAAAAAATATTCAGATTGCGTGAGCCAAACAATTGTTGTAATGTGAACAAAAAAGAACCAACGTCAACTTTTCGCCACAAAGTTTCACGATCCAATCCTGCTCTACTTAATTCAGTTTATAGGTAACTGGGTAGTACTGTTAACTTTCTTCTTAGAAATTAGAATGTGGCTCATAACTAGGTACCTGGTAAACTAGTTAATCTATTTTAGCATAATTTAACGTCAATCGTAGAAATAAAAACAACAACAAAGTAAATGATAAACAAACCCAAAAACAAAGCAAAGTTTGGAAAGTCAAAAAACTACAGGGAAAAATAAAAGACAAAGATAGATAACAGAAGAAACGGCAAACAAAGAATAATGCGTAAATAGGAGAAAATGTTTACAACCCAAAAAAGTTACTAATCAATATGATCTAGAATATTACATAACAATGTTTGATATTATCATAAACAAATGATAATTTGTGAAAAAAGTCGACAATAATGAATATATATATATATATATATATATATATATTGGTAAGACGTAAATTAAATAAGTCGGTTATGAATTGTGCATGTAAACAGTTTATGTTTTCGGTCCACTACTAGTTACTTATTCTGACAACTGGAATTGCATTAGACAAAGAAAGATGCTATATTAAATATAATTGAGTCAGCCAACTCAAAAAAAACATTAGTGTTTGAGTCTCATTTTGCCAATCAAATATATGCAGTTCAATGATTTGTAGTTGAATGAAAACTGATGTTGTTATCAATAGATTTTGGGTAAAAGGAACAATTCACTGGTACTTGATCCCGTTAGTTAACTTTGCTTTGTTGTCGGCTATTGGCAATTGATGTGTTGTATAGTAAAGAAGTAAACACAAGTAAACAATTTTCATTATCTAGTGGTCTTACAACTCATTGTTATGGTATATACTTTCATTCTGATTCTCCATAAATACAATTTATTGTAGTCAAACATTTCTTAAATCACATTCAATTTTAGAAATATTGGATAGAAAAGTATTTCTAAGTAAATTCAGTTATTTCACTTCGACCGCCGCACCGAGTTTACATCAAAAGATCTGATACTTAACATTCAGCCGTACAACTAGAATGAATGAACAGTCAGATGAAATTATAAACTATATAAATGAAATTCTATTTGTATGCCAAGTGAAATTTACTTGCATGAAATGAATAATTACAAACACAATCAGTAAACAACTTTTTAACTAATTGACCAGAAGCAGTTACATAACTACTACGCTTGTATATTTTATCTTCGAAAATTTAAAGTAGAACAAAAGATCATCCTCACATGGATCGCATATAGAAGAAATTTTGCGTACGCGAATGCATAGAGATACACAAAAGATCTCACACGGGTTCGCCAAATCTTTTCACGTAACGTGGAAGAGCCTCATGAGCATTTAATCAATCAATCAACAGCAACGTAGAACCTCATACGTACGTACGTACGTACATACATCGGTTCAACTTGCCATATCAAATTAGCACAGAGATGTAATTGTCAATTCAAAACCCATAGTAGTACGGGTAGTAGAAGTATTAGCAGTAATCGGAGAGATGAGGGTTCGAAGATATTATTCAAGAAGTAGAATCTAGTGAAATAAACTTAAAAAGAAAAAGTGATGAGGAATTAAGAAGTTTAGGATTTGAGAGAATGCACCAGCGCCATTTTTATGAGCATTCAGTCGTAACTTATCTTAATTAAATACTCTATATATATATTTGTTAAATTACGCCAATACATCATGTTTAAACAACCATGATACTTGTAGCTATTCAAAACAGTTCAAGTTCAAGGATAGGATTCTTGTAAACATCTGATCTAATAATAATGTCTTTTTTGCACATTGCCATTACTCCAATTAGTTCAGACGAATGCATTAATGTGCTCAGGTTTTAGTTTCACTTATTATGAAAAAGAAAACTAGAAATTCAAAAAAAAACTAAGTAAAAAAATAGAGTAGAGAGTTATGACTTATAACTTCACTTAGTATATTATTGTAATGTATGTTTTTACAACCTGAATAGACAACAACTTGCCAACAAAGTGTATGAAATATGATACAAAAATTGTCATTCAGACAAAAAAAAGGTATAAAACAACCAATTTCACTTTAGATATACTTATTAATAGATGTAAAGATAGATCTATTATAAGCATTATCTATATAAAAGTTTAATGAAAAGGGAGGTATTTCACAGTTTTCTTTATTTCTGATCACAATCAAATGAAAAGGAAGTTTGATAAAGGGTTTACTTATTACGATTGAAGATACCTGTGAAAAAAAGACATTATACAAGATAAAGTCAAAATATATTAAATGATATATTCACATAGAACGGAAGTTCATCAAAATTATTAAACTGGTATGAAGAGGGTAATATGTTGAAACCTATTACACTTCTCGTATTGTATCAACTTACAATTCATACAGAAATCTAATAGTATCCAGCTAAAATGAAATTTTGAGTCAGAAGACCTGAAGAATGCATTACTCAATCAAGATCGTTTCTACTAACAGATGACATAAGCTGTGCTCCAACAAAAACGAAAGCGTTTATGAACGAAAGTAAGCATAATATAGAACAAAGGATAGTTGGATGTACATTTTAACGACTGCGAGAAAGGAACTCAGATAAGAACAGATGATAAACAGAAGTCCTTGTTGATCATTAAACAGAGACTAGAAACAAGCCATTGGATTCATTCAAATTTTCCCTAATGTATTCAGAAAAAGGAATTTATACCAACACTAAATATTCCCTGACAATATCGATTTAAAGTTGTTAACGCCAAGAGGTGGTGTGAATAAAGCTTTCTACTTTTTATTTTACAGTTGTTGCAATTTATTTATTTTGACCTGTTTATTATTCACAATAAAATTTTGATACATTAACATGTTCAATATGTACTCCTTAATATACAACACATATTTTCAAGTAACATTAACTGAATTTAGCAAAGAAACCTACTGTTTCAAATAATGAATGTTCAAAAAAACACAACTTTAAGAAAAAAATGCAACACATTAAATTCAAACAAGTGTACATGAAAAAAAGTTGATAAATATAGCTGATAAATAAATTTAATTTCAAAATACTGTAATAGTTTGAAACCGTGACTGTAAAATTTATTAAGATAGCTAATTTATGGGAATAAATTGAATATTGGGCAAAAATATGGTGTGGGACCATGGGTTTTTATTGGCATATTTGCAACAAATCTGAAGAAAACATAAGTGTTGCTAGTAAGCAAAGATACTACAATTCTGTATTACGATATTTAATTTTATGTTTAATTTTATCATAGACATGCTCCTAGAAATAACCTTATCCTTGTCTGAATTTTCAGGAGTAGACCTTCTACCAGGTGGCTCACTTATTGACTTAGAATATGCCGATGACATTGTCCTACTTGGTGAAGACGCTGACAAAATGCAGAGTCTTCTGACTACCATAAGCAACAATGCAAGCATGTTCGGGATGCGGTTCTCACCCTCGAAATGCAAAATGTTGCTTCAAGATTGGGTTTCATCGGCACCTGAACTAGTGATAAGGAGTGAAGTAGTCGAACATGTAGACCGCTTCACTTATCTTGGGAGTCTCATCAGTGCCGATGGCCTGGTGACTGACGAAATCTCAGCACGGATACAGAAGGCTCGATTGGCTTTTGCCAACCTGCGTCACTTATGGTGTAGGCGTGATATCCGTTCTCTAATCAAAGGACGAGTGTACTGTGCAGCAGTTCGCTCCGTTCTCCTATATGGCTGCGAAACATGGCCAGTGAGAGTAGAAGATATTCGTAGGTTACTGGTTTTCGATCATAGGTGTCTTCGAAGCATTGCTCGTATACCGTGGGACAACCGAGTAAGCAATGCTGTCGTTAGGAAACGAGTACTAGGTAAGGATGGCAGATCAATTGATGAAGTGGTGAAACTTCATCAGTTGAGATGGTTGGGACATGTCTTGCGTATGCCGAACCACCGACTGCCTCGACGAACTTTGTTTTGTAGTGTAGGAATAGGTTGGAAGAAAGTTAGGGGCAGCCAGACCAAAACATGGCAGAAATCCATGAAGTCATTCACAAGTGGACTGAGCAATGTCGGTAGTAATCGACTACCTGGTTGGGGTCCGCGAGATGATAATAATCGATGGTTAGATACCCTGAGTGACATGGCTCAGAACCGCTTGCAATGGCGCCAGTGCATTCATTCTTTGTGTTCTCTCAAATCCCAATCTTCTGGATTCTTCAACACCTCTAGTTTCGACTCTCTAAACTTTTCTCACTGAATCATACTTCTTGAATATCTTCTAATCCTAACCTCTCCGATTACTCCTAATACCTTTACTACCTCTTCTATTATTGGATTTGAATTGACAATTATATCTCTGTGCTGATAAGGTATGGCAACATGAACTGATGTACTTACGTACGAAGTTCTACGTTGCATCTGACTGACTGACTGATCACGATATTTCAGGAAAAAATTAACAAAAGATCGAGTCGACAGCACTATTACATTTACGATTTTGTTTGGAAAATAATACACATGGTTTATTGAAATGACTTTACCATCTACCTCTACAAAATTTTGCTTTACAGAGATGTTGGGGACGTTAGATCCCCAGAAATCACTTGGGAAAAGTCCTAAGTTTGTAATTTTATCTTGAGATTTCGAATTTTATTTTTTCGCGCCAAAGACGCTCATTTTGACCTTCAGCTTACATTTCTCACTCAGGAAATCCTCGACTGTCATTGGATGATGTATTATTTTAGTACGCTATTTTGTAGGTCTCATCAAGGGCGTTTTAACATTGTGCTGGTGTGTGCTGGTTGGCCTCGTACTTTCTGGGTGCCTGTGGAATACACTTTTCTCGTCTTATCAAGACTTCTTCCTCTAGTTAGCGGGGCGTAAGGACGATCTGATTAGAGTAGCCTATAGTGTTGTTGAGTCATTGCTCTTCGTTCCGTTTACCGAGTAAGGTGAACTCGTACTGGTTCAAGCATTTTGAGAGAAACTCGAAAATGATTGTAAAACAACGAAGAGAAATTTCCGAGAGATAAGTGATTTCAAAAGAAATGAATGGATTGGATATTTTAGTGAGTTCTTTTCTGAACGTGCAAACACAACTTTTACAATGCAGCATTGTGTAATACATACACTAAGTTGAACTAGTTCCACTGTGTACAATCCAGTGCTCAATCATGCAAACAAAAGTAAACGAATGTTCATTAAGTGTCATCTTTAGGTTTTTACACCAAATGACCTGTGTGCATAAAGACAGGTAAATTAAAAAGACAGAAAAAGCACCATCTATGCGATTCAGTGAACATATTAGACCAGGTATATTATGAAATTTAAACTGACATTGATATTTTTGAGTCAAGGTTGAAATCTAATCTGTTGACTATTAACTACGTTTTTGAGAGAAATAAGCCATATGAACAATTTTTCATTTCAACAGTGGTTATAACTCAGTGAGTTGAACTCTAATTTTTATTTTCATGAGTTTTCATCATATTACATAATCAAGTTATCTCAGAAAATCTAGAAATACTATTCTAATTATGATTTAAAAATGCGACCAAATTAACACAGAAAAAATACCTGACTTTTCATCATTGAAAAATAACCTTAATTATGAGAGTGCAAAATGTTAACTAAACAAAATACTCGAATGCTTACTTGAATACGTTTAACTAATTGTCCAATAACTTTTGCAGCTAAACTAGTTTCTCTTCGAACTTCCGGTATTTGTGCCAGTTCCGAGCGTAATAAACAAATAAATTCCACTGAATTCTTAAGTATATTCCCTTTATTCTTTTTACCATCACTTTAAATGAAAAGAAATAAGACACATATATATAAACATACATACAAAGGTGATGATAGCCATTCATACATATAAAAGGTACAACTATTATATGATACTCCTGATTTTAAGTAACTTACTAAAAGAGAAAAATATCGTTCAGGAAGTTACGCATAATTCAACTGACTCAGTCTTAACGTCTCTGAGTGTAAAAATGAGTGACGCAGGGTCTAGTCTATCAGGGAGCACCAGCCCCCTCGAGATCGAAGGCACATACTGATGACAAGCATTAAACAGCACGAAATCTAGGTTAGGGGTTTCTAACCGATAACACCACCTAATAAAATCTTAGTGCACTCAGATTAGTGGCAAGCTGCTCAATAGGATTCAGTCAGCAATCAAGGGCTAAACGCTTATGAGAGAAATCATCACTAGTCAGAGTATAGCTGCTGCTCATGATCAAAAAAATTTTCATAACTGTAAAATACTACAAGAAATTTATTAAGAGAAATATTCTAAGTTCATTTTAGAATTGATAAAAGGGTTTAATTAGTATCCAAATAAAAAATACACAAAAGCAAAGAAAATTGTGTCTATTAAGAAATTGCTGATTGATAATTTGAAGAATTTTAACGTTTCAACCTGCAAATTGGTTTAAGCAACAATTTTCGGTGAAATATGGACGACTGCTTGTACAATCGGAAGTACAACGCTCTAATCTACTGTTACATTTATCAGATCTATATACCTATCGTGTGAAGACTGTGGATGATATTCACATCCAATTACAGTTCAAATAAGTCAGCTAACAATTTATGGTTGGTGTGGTTGTGAATCGGTTCGGATTGTCTAGGTTGAATGAAACACTTAGTACTTGTTTTTCAATTGCTTCTACCTCAAAATAGAACAGTTTAAGTTAGTAAAATGTTATCCGCTTATAGTTATTGACTATCGCTTTGTGCAGAAATGTGCAAAGGCTGAAGTGAACTTAAGATCCAAGAGGATAAGTCATAGTGTGGTGTGAGCTACTTATGAGTAGTATATGACGTGAGTGTAAACGTAATGTCCGGCAGCATAATATGGGGGAACATCAAGAAAGGAAGAGTTAGAAAACAATGGAATTTGTACGAAACGCATGAATAGTGACAATCGATTGATGTTTTGCAACAGGAACAGTCCAGTTCGATAGGATGAACTGATCTTTTGCACATGAACAATTTACGATATGGTTTTCCGATTTTACTGAGTAACTCTGTAATTTTCGTTAAATACAATTCGGTTGCCCCACCTATGTTCTCGTTCACTACAATAGTATTGCTCCAAGTGAAAATACGGTGCATGCTTTTAAATAATAATAAAACAACTAAGTACCTCTCTGATTTTGTGCTTGACGTTGATATTCTTGAAAAACTAGATGAAATCAATAAGAAAGGACAGGGATAAGGATGTGTCTGCACTTGAATTGTGTGCAGAAGTAAATACGGTGACTGAAACCAAGCTCTGTTTACTGTCTAGACAACATAAGGACCTTAACTATGCTTGTTTTGGGACATTAGCCACAAAAGGAACCTCATCGATATCTGTTTAGGAATATAATTTCCAAACTTAAGTGTTTATAACCTATCCAAAATTTCACAGCGTTTAGACAGGAGTTCAATTTACTGATTAGGTAATTTTCCTTTGATGTTAAGGTAGCTGCTAATCATGATATTCATATGGAACTAGTGGATCCTGAAATGCTTGTCAACTGATATGCTTGAATGTTATTGCGAGTTCACCTTACTCGGCAGCGGAGCGAAGACATGATGCAGTGACACGATAGGCTATTCTAATCCGTTGTCCCCAGCCCGGCTAACTATATCAAAAAGTCTTGATATGGCATAGAAAATGTATTCTACAAGCACACAAATCGAGCTTCTTTACGCATGATAGAAACGTCATTGGGAGAGACATGAAAATAATGTACTACAATAATACATCAACCAATGATCGGTCAAGGATTTTCTGAATGGGAAATCTCAAGGTCAACTGAGCAGCTTATGCGCGAAAACACGAAAATCCAAAATTAGGACCTTTTCTTAGTGAGTTCTGAGGATCTAACGTCCCCAACAGTCCAAAAGCTGATATCGAGTCGAAAGGACACTTCAAATACATAACATTGAAGGAATTGTATTCACCGTACACAGAGGATACATTTTATGACCAGAAAATCTTTAGACATAAAATACTCATTTAGGGGCCGTATTAAATTTGTGAACGAGCGTCTTCATGTGTGAACTTCAATAATTGGAAATTAGAATTTGAACTAGTGAATTCAATCTTAGAAGAGAAATGGCAACCTTTAGTGAAGAACTACATACAATCCGGATTCATCTTATTGATAGGGCGAAATTATTAACTTTGATGACTTTATAAGCATGTTTTAAAAAACAAATGACCCCTAACAATTCACCAATAAAAGATTTTCTGGAATTTTGTATATGAGACTTGGTAGGATATCTAGGATTCCTACAACCCCGCTATTTAGAAAATGTATCCATTAATCTCTCATAAGATGAGCATTTCATTTATCTCCTTTTGACCTATGTTGACAATTATTTACATGATGCACTATGTCATTGAAAATTGTTTTCGTTTAATTTCATCTCAATATTTGATTCTAGCTGGTGTACTGTTGGTAGTATTTATCACAGTTTTTTTAAGATTTGATACGTTTTATCTGCTTTTTACATCTTATCCTCAATTATATGAGGAGTGTAATACTAGTATAGTTTGATGACAAAATAATGAAAATAGGTTAGAATAAGATTTTGCACTACAACTTCTGCTTAAAATGTTGACAAATCTAAAACATTTATGTTACAAAATATAATAATCATAATCATAATCATAATGATAAAACAGCAGTAATATAAAGAGTGAAAGATGTTTTACAAAAAGAAAAAAAACACTCAAATTCATACCCATCTCTGAACATATCCTCAGGTAATAAACTTCCAAGTTCCGCAATTTGACAGTTAATATAATCGCGTCGTTTACGTTCAACTACAAAGAGAGAGAGAAAAAAAATAACAGTGAGTTAAACACATTCCACATGTGCCCTTCTTTCCAGCTATTTATATAATTAGAGGGATCAAGCATAAAAACATATTCCTATAGATAAGCAATCATTTTAAGCTGAATTTCATTTTCTATCATAAATTTTTCTGTCAATGTATAAATATCTAACGAAAAGTCGAAAGAGAAAATGCAGACAAAGTTGACTGGTAAATAGGATAAGGCGATAAATTTAAGGTGGATATCGCTGTACAAAAAGAAATGATATTTTAACCTGAATTGTATCAGTTGTGATTAGTGAGAAGTATGTATTACACATCCGCATTAATTGTTGCCTTCACTAAATCTGGTAGAGAATCAGCTAATAAAAAGTAGTGATGGGAATTGACATAGATATTAGTTAAAAATTTACTCATAGCTTATCTACACCAAACAGTGAAGAAACAGTACAACTATTTACCTGAATAAACCTAGACAGACGAGTAATATTGCGAAAGTGCAGTTCTTGTGAGGCTTTTTTCTCTGAAAATGTTAAATTTTATTTGTAACCATGAATCGATCAATGTTAGACCACCATTAGAAACCTAGAAGCACTGGACGGCCGTTTCGTCCTGGTATGGGACTCATCAGCAGTGGTCTAACATTGATCGATTTATGGTTACAAATAAAACTTAACAATCTTCACAACAACCCCGCAATGAAAATGTTGAAACCAACTAGATATTCATTTTGTGAATATTATTCTGGAGTGACAATGTGAACAAATGAATGATTACTTAAGGTATTAGATTATGTAAATCGGTTTCAAGCAGTCTTTAAGGAAAAAAAACATAAGCTCGACAAGTCACATTTCCAAATTGCGAAAAACAATAACCAATGGGAAAATGCAGACAAAAAACAAATAATACTTACTTCGATTATGACTATCTTTTTTCGATCGATCTCTCATCCAGGCTACTCGTTGATCATCTACATTTCGACCACTAGTTGGTGAAGATATATTTCCAATACTTAGAGGACCATGACTTACAGGAAGACTAGTGCCTTCCGGTGTACTATTTAAACCACCTAATGGACTGCTACCGCTTTCACTAAGCACCGATTGAGGTGCTCTTGATCCTGATTGTAATGGACTAGTACTGTTATCTGTCATACATAAATCATCTGGTACATTAGCTGGACATGATGAAGACACTGTCATACCAGTATCGTCTCGATTCGCTTTGGTACTTTCTTTAAGAAAGAAAGAATTCACATCTACAGGACTGATTTGTACTAAAGAATCCAGTTTATTCCCAGTTTGTAGCATTGTTTTTGCTGTTGTTGAAGTTGACGTAGTCTGTTGTAAACGTTCGGAGGAATTCGGTGTTTGGTGCGGAAAATCACTTGTTGAATCGGAAATGCCAACCTTTGTAGAGTAAATAGACAAAAAGACATTTAAGAAGGAGAAAAATATGAATGATATACCAAGAAACAGTGATAAGATAACATGAAGATTTTATCACCGACTATCGAAAGCATATACAACAAAAACCTCATATTCCTAAAAAAGTCAAATGAAATCACTGGAATAAAGCAACATCAGTTCTGTCCAGTAGGAATACAACTGACAGAACTGGCATTCCAAACATTTGACCAGCAGTAGAACAACAACAGCTGAATGAATTGAAACACTTTGGATTGGGCTTTTAGTCAGAAAGTAATGATTTCAGCTTCAAAAACGGGAAGTTGGAATCAATCTGATAGCAGATAAATAATTTTCTACGTACACTTGTATGAATTTGTTGAAATATTGCATTGTTTGTGGAAAAAATGTACACGCAGTTACACACACACACACACACGCAAACACGAAATTAACTGTTTTGGTGTGCTATATTCTAGAAACTTCAGAGAAAAATGCTTAGCATGGTCGATTGTTCGTGTTTGCCTAGCGCACACACAATCACAACTTTGCGTGACTAGACGGAGAAAACGCTTCTTTAATAAAAGTTAAGAGTAAAACTAATTCAATGAAATAGTTCAGTGCTGCATTCAAATATACAGTTAGACCATACAATAAATATATATTAAAATTAATAATTTGACTGAAACACTATAAAAAAAAAATTAAGGGTTATCGTACAAAACAATGTGCTTTTTTTCTTACTCTAATAAACCAACTTAATGTTACTTTATAATGATAAGTCAAATATACATTATAAAATAAATCTATATTTATCTTTAATACAATTAATTCTTCATATTGCACGACGTCTAAGCATACCTACACGAAAACAGACAAATGTGCAGTTTTGTATTGAGCATAAGTTCAATCGTGCACCAGTTATCTGATAACCGAAAAGATATCTATTAATATTAAAAAAAAAAACTAAATTTTTATCACAGCTCTAACACCTAGCTAGCTTATTAAAAGATAAGAGCTGTGACAAATAAGCATTATTTTATTCAATTACTTGAGTCACATTAAATCTATTATGTAAAAAACAATATTTTCTGATCTGTTTAACATTGTGTGTAGTACATACACAACGCAGTGGATGACAACGATTACAACAGTCGTTCATTGTTCAGAATAATTGATTCAATCAGTTCACATAATTCTACAAACAGCACATACATTCACCATTTTTGCTATATGCATGATAGGTGGTTTTCATTTTGGACGATTTGGATAAAAATGATAACTTTGAATGTAAGGTTTCAAGAATATTATTCTGAGCTGATATCAATAGAAGAAATTAGCTTGAAACTGTTGTGATAGATTAATAATCATCATTAAGCCTTAACTATTTGATTTAGTTAACAAATGACAAATAATTCATGTTTCATAATACTTTCATTAAGTACAGTCGGTAAACTAAAGACTTTGTCTGATGGAATATGTTTGATTAAGAAAATTTTTGAGTATCAGTTCTATGCGTAAATTATCAGTTTGTTTGCTCAACTATAATCACTATGACTGTAGTAACAAATAAATGAGAGAAACATAGTATTAACTTCATTTAAATGAGACTGTTAAACAGAACGCATCGCTAACACAGATTTGCGTTTGGTGACAAATGTTAAAATTAATTAAACTGACAATTTCGGATAGAATATCAAATATATTAAAAACTAATCAGATCATGATTTTACATGATTCTTTAATATCTTATTAACATACCTACACAGAAATTCAACTCTAACCTTTCACACTATCAATATCACATTTTGCACACCTATTTATTGACATACAAACAAAAAAAAACAAGCACGTTTCATATACAGAACAGAGTGATAAAAAACACTGGACTTGATCAGACCTGCTTTTATATCAATTTTGTCGTGGCTTACGATGAGTAACGAAAGGTTAGAAAATTCAATGTTTCTACACATCGATATATTACAGACATATTATTTTTATTATTGATATGAAAAATATTTTTCTGTCATATATTCACTTCAGCTAGAGAGAGAGAGCCATTTAAATGTTATGAAGCACCAAGGATAGTTGTTTTGTCCTACCTTAGAACTACTACTTTACAGTGTACAACCACGACCATGTCAGGGACTAAACCCAGAGACTTTGAGTTCTTCGAGGATCGCCTTAATTCTAACCAACTAACTAAATTTAATTTCAAATCAATGTCATTATTCATGTACTACACTAAACAGTAATGTCTATTGAATAATTTACAAACAAATATGTAAATCTTAACATTTTATCAATCATCAGAATTATATACATAACAATTTGGTGTCTGACTAGTCGAAGCATAAGACAAACAAAGATTGTATATTTATATGGAGATAGAAAGGACATTATGCTTCACGAAGCTTCTGGTTAGTAGACAGGCTTCTTTCTTTTTCCCATACGAAAAAAAAATCAGTGACAAATTAACCTAGCGATAGGCAGTAATTACCAAAGACAAATGGGTGAGGTCGCGCAAAATCCCTAGACCAATCAGAGTTAGACATTAACACCGTTGGATGCCGGCCCAGTGGTCCGATGGTAAGGCGTTCGCCTACAATGCCAAAGGTCCCGGGTTCGAATCCTGCGAGGAGCAGGAGTCGTGGATGTGCACTGCTGATGAGTCCCATACGAGGACGAAACGGCCGTCCAGTGCTTCCAGGTTTCTAATGGTGGTCTAACAATGATTGATTGATGATTTCAAATGTGTAAAAAATCGCAAACCTCCAAAACTGTGCCCCAAAAAAGAGATAGATAATAACTTCGCTTGATGGGTCATGGAACTTATTTCGGAATCAGTTTAAGTTATATGTTCGATTAGTTGGCTTAATTTTATCTTGTAAATATTGATAGTTAAGTTGAATAAGTTCTATTCTATTTAAAATGTTACAATTTAACTAATATAATAAATTAATCATCAATTAACAAAAAAGTGTATATAATCATTAAAAGTAAACTTGAATATCTTTAAATAAAACTAATAGAATAATGTGCTTTAATTAATGTAATTATGATGTATGGACTATTCTCAGAGTTCATTCAACAATCCTACATAAAGATTAAGAAATGATTCAATAAGACAGTCATGAGCAATGTAGAATATGTAAAATATTTGCATCGGTTTAGAATGCTAAATCAAATCAACAGAGCGCGAAGAAATTATCAAGACAAACGATAGAGTAGTAGAAGTAGTAACACTATCAGTGATAGCAGAAACGATTAGTGGTAGACAGTATGATTCAAGATGAGTGGACGGCACTGACGATTCAAAGATTATGTTTAGACTATAATCAGAACACGTATAACGTATGTTAAAGTAAACAGATGATGATAACTCACACTAATTTTGTTCCTCAAACCGAGGAAACTTAATATCAAAGGATGAGACATATTTTTGTCACTTGACTTGATGTCAGACAAGACTGGCCACTCTTCAATTTAATTGTTCTTCTAGATGTTGACTGGATTATGAAGACCTGCAAATCTCAGGAAAAGCAAGGAATACAGTAGATGCCTTGGACACTGCATATGGCGGCCAGTACAGACGTCAAAGGTATCAAGATTAGAATTTTAAGCATTAACCCGTTGTATGGAGCTTAATATTGGAGAGCTACCACAAACATTATCAAAAATGGCATAGGTATTCATGAATAACTGCGAAGGCAAGACACTGCAGACCTATTATTGGTTAAGGAGCATGAACAATAACAAACTTCGGTAGAGAACAAATCATCTGTCAGTTGAGAACAGCAAGAGACGCTAAGGGTGGATAGAACTACTGAAACCACTAAAATGAATCGCAGGGTCAGTTCCAACTTGGAGTCCTCAGAGCAAAGAGAATAGAGGCAGACCAAAAAACACAAGGCATTGTAAACTAGGAGCAGACAATGACACCATGAATAACGCTGGGATAACAGCTGTAAAGGAGAGTCCAGGACAGAGTTGCTTAGAGATCCCTGGTCAGTGGCCTATGCCCCAAGAGATAACGAACACAATTAAGTATCCAAAACATACCATTATGTACTATTTAACATTACGACGCTTAGTAGATGAATTAAAATTAAATTAGTACATTAATGTAGTTGCTCAAGGGCAAGTTACATCACAATGAATTGATGAAAAGGTTAAAAGGTGAACACGATCGATTCATAAAAATCTCCATAATAATTGACAAACTGGGATAAATTAGTTACGAATAGATCAAAGAAGCTTAACGTTAACGCAACTAGCAGAATAGGAGCCACATGCACTTCACCTGTATTTCATGATTAGTTGAGAAGAAACTCTTTAACTAGTACAGTGTTTACAACTTAACAGCCTTTTTATTTACTGAAATAACTTACACATAAAAAAGTTACGTGTTGTACTATTAGAGCAAATTATTAATTATAAATCACGCAATAGTAAGACTAGAAATAAGACAAAGGAAGAAAACAGAATATTGTCATGAAACAGAAAAGCAGTGATCATTAAAAGTATGTTACAAAAATCAGACATACAACTACAAGTGTGTGTCAATCAAACTTACAGATGATGAAAGATTTATAGACGGTGTAATATTATTCAAATCAAAGCTATCACTTCCTTGATCTTCCATTATATTTGCAAAACAAGATTCAACTGGCTGAAATAACAAAGATATGAAAAATCTTGAAATTTTCTTTATGTATATAAAAGATTGATGGTATATAGCTGTTTTAGTGTGCAGAAAGATTTAATGAATAACGTATTTGTAGCTATACTTTTAAAAATAACCAAAAGGATAGATTTGATTCAGTTGAAGTTAAATTCTGAACGTACTAATGAAACTTTTGTTCATTCTACTGAATATTGTGGTGGATTAGTACGTTAAAGAATCAAGGCTTTTCTAAGGTCGAATTACACTTTTGTTAAGATACGGTATACGAACAATGAATACAAAATTATTCTATTGATTCCTTATCAACTAATCAACAGTAAATATTCAAATTTCAGATTCATCAAGCAGTAAACTAATTTTATTCATTCAATACAGATTTTGGTGTACAACTGTTTTAAAATAGTAGACAACTAAGGAAGAAAATATTGTACTTAGGAATTTCTTGACTAGACTTTAGTTCAATGTTTATCTCTAACTGGTACATATATTTAATGATTGACTTAATATTTATTTTAGTAATTGTGGTTTATGATAGTGAAGTGTTAATTTTTGAATATTATAAGTTCAAGAGACTTAATTTTGTTCATCTGGGGAGATATATTCATCATACAACCCTTGAATTAATTTTTTGTACGGAATATATTAACTTGAATTCAATATATACATCTAGTTTAAAGTACAGATCCTTGACATGAAACCAGTATGCATTAAGTATTCTTGAACTTGAAACCAATCAAACGAAGAGGTATATTAAATATATCCATTCATTGAAATCTAAAAGTCTTTGTTAGGAAATTTATCCTGAAGTAAGTTATTGGATATGAAGTGAATCACAGTATATTTATTTGCATAGAAAATTAATACACATTAATTTATCCTCTTTGAAAAAGTCATTTCCAGATGAACCAAATAAGCACTTTTATTGTGAATTAGGAGAAAGGTAAAATTATTAACCAAAGTCTTTTGATAAAGTATTCATGAAAATAACTTGTTTTAAGACCTTACTAGGAGCTCAGCACTGAATGTATTTAGGAAATTCTAATATCAACTGGAGATATCATGTGAACGATACGCTGAGCTACACAGGAATCAGGCAAAACGACTGAGAAGTTTCAACCAAGTTGCTACAGTAACTTGCAGATAGCTGGAGATTCAAGGTTTTATCCTGGATACAATTAGGCGCACATAATACAGACAAGTCTTGAAACAGTGAAATAGTTGCCAAATCGTGGTTCATGACAGAATATCATCTATGCACTAACCGGTGAGTGAAAGAGACTCGTATGAACAAAAAGGTGTTCATTTGACTGGCTACAGACCAGACCCATAGGAATGTTATAATTCTTTAAAGTTGTTCAGGACAGATTAGAAAAGAAGTAATAATTACCTGTTGGGCTCAGTATTGACTTATAACTTTATGAGGAAAAGGAATAATACATTAATCTAAAATGTAAACTACATATTGTTATGAACTATCCTGAGAGTCGTAAATCTGAGACTCTAAGTGTCATATTTTATACATGACCATCTTGAGCAGAGTTATGTGTATCTTTTGTTTTCAAACATTAACTTGAAAACCATTTGAGATAGTACAACAAGATGCGTTGAATTAGTGCATTAGGTAATTTCTTTACTACACCCAAGCATAAAATAAAATCACCAAATAAAACTGTCGATATCTGTTTAAATTAATGCAATTTAGTATACCATCACATCAATCAGTGGCAGGATAATCAAAACTATTTAACGTACAGAATTCATATCAGAAGGAGTTGGTGACTCAATAGATTCCATCTCAAGCATACTTAGTTCTGAATTAGATTTGACTTGAGTATTTGAAGATATGCCATCGTCAAAACTGCTGCGTTTAGACTGTATATGCTTTGTTGAACCATGTGGTAAATTACGATAAGAAAAATGCATAGGCAGTGATTGATTAGGTGCTCTGTTAGACGTAGATAAAACGTACACAGAACTCCGATTGTTATCTGCAGAGTTTTGATTAATTACAGAGTTTGTAGCTAGAAGTGATGGGCTACAATTGGTAAAATCCAAATTCCTTTGCTGATAGTTTCTTTCAGCTAGTTGTGATATTTGTTGTGATTCTACAGTTGGTTGGAAAAGTCTAGTCTAAAAAGAAATGTTAAGCATTAATATGGAAACATGTTCCGGTAAACCCATTTAGATATATCAGATTTGTAAACTATCAGTTTTCGTATTGTTAAATTTCTAAAACTCATACTATAATAAAGTGGAGTAATGAACTACAGAAATGGACCGTAAATTAATCAATCATCATGACCACACTTTTCAGAGATAACCGAAATATAGTACTCAAACTGGTTGGTATAAAATCAGAAATTTGTTTAATTCATCGGAAGCATAATTATGTCCAGTAATCTTAATTAATAAACATTTGATGGCAGAAATATATTATGAAGGTCTAAGGCGTGACATTAAAACAACAACAAATTAACTTCGATACAGAATATTTCATTTACTACTTCTAAGTAATCACCACCACTTAATCAAAAACTCAAATTACCAGTAACTCTCGAAATATTCAATCCTATATATTTTTTTTGCAAGTAAATAATGTACAGAAATGGGAACTTTAAAAATTGCAGTATGAAAACTTAGAAACTAATATTCATGAAATATATTAAACATAAACTTCAGGAGAAATGACTTAAAGCCGAGTTGGATTAACTAAATTAAATCTAAGATAACTTTAACCTACTTCAGCAATTTCAGTAAATCACTAAACGTATTAAGGTTCTTAGAAGTTGATTATTTTAGGGACAGTGAGTTGTTAATCTAGGCAATGAAAGTTTGACTGTATTACGGTAGGAAAATTTATGAAAATGAAATAATTTTGATTTCTTTTTGGTTGCGTATATTTGCAAAGGATGAAACCCTTAAACACGTCTTTCAAGACCACACCGACAAGATGCATGAGGACTCGTGTCGGTTTATGGAATCATTCATTCATTACTAAAACACAAACATTAATACAAAAAGGCATCTGAATATTTATGGGCTATATCAATTATTAAATTTGCGAGCGGGCTGAGATGATGCCCGAATGATCAAACTGAACCAGGTGGTTTTCTTAAGGAGTCCCACCCCGAGTCTTTGACGCAAACATCTGATCCACAAGGCGATGTAAGGAGATACAGTCCCGTGGTAGCAGGTGACAATATGGTCACACGCTACTTATTCCCTCAGGATCATGAAGCTCATGTGCGTCTTTGATTCGGGACCAGGATTTTTAAATCATCTAGGTGGATTCTCCATACCCATCAAACCAGTCTAAGCCACCGTCGAACATTGGTTTTCATTCTCTCAATTTTGTAAACACACCCGTCCCGATAAGGCGATGAGTAGGACTCCCCTGTCAGTGGCTATATATGTGTAGCCATACGAGAAAATTTTGATGTCTCGTCCGTACTATGGCATTTGGGGGTTTATAGAAACCGCAGTTACATGAACAAAAACTGTATCTCGATTGCAGCTGCATAAAAAATTCGAAATTTAGACTTTGTTACACTAGTTAAAACTTTTAACTAAAAATGAAAACCAACATAATTTGATGGAAATGGAGAAAATAACCAAACCACGGAAAAATAAGGTCACATTAGTGGCTTACTGGATGAGTATCCGTTTGATGCTGGTGACCAGTTGCATTTAAAGAAGCCAAGAGAGCACTAGCTCCAAATCCTCGATTGTAATGACTAGTTAATTTAGCATTATCGTCAGTCTGCTGAGTCGGCGCTTGAGAACCGGAGAGAAGAAGATTGAGACATGGGTGTGATGTTGTTGTTGGACTACTAATGATCAATTTGGATCCTTTCGAACGACATTCGCTTGATGTTCTAGATCCCAATTCGTCCTGTAAGATGCATTCTTCATTCAATGTCTGCTCACGCATACGCTGCTGTCGGGCAGATGTGCGGGACATGTTTTGAAATAATCTTTTTTCTGAACATATGGTGAAAACTGAACAGTAAATTAGAAATAGATGAGAATGTTCCTTACCTCTTGAATACGGTCAAGTAATATAGCTAGTAAATTACTGACATGCAGATTTGATAACCTAATATAAAACAAATAAAGTTATTGGCATATTAGGATTAAAAATGAGTCAAAGCTATTAGTAACCTAGATATTTAATGTATGAATAACAAACTTAATTACACTCCTTGTCTCTATGATCCTAGTATTAATGTTTAAATTAGTCATAGATGACCACATCTACTTCTGAATACGATCTCTGGTTTATGTAAATAATTTAGGTGTAGTCCGTCAGTTACAACGTAGAACTTCGTACGTAAGTACATCAGTTCATATTGCCATACCACATTAGCACAGAGACGCAGTTGTCAATTCAAATTCCATAGTGGAAGAGATAGTAGAACTACCGCTAATAGAGAAGATTAGGATTTGAAGATAATATTCAAGAAGTATAATTCAGTGAGACAAGTTTAGAAAGACAAAGGTAGAGGTGCTGACGAATCCAGAAGATAAGGATTTGACAGAACACAAAGAGTGGATGCACCTGTGCCATTGCAAAGGATTGTGAGCCATATCATTACAAGGTTTAAGTGTGGTAACCGGCTTGCCGGCGTGACATTCAACAGTCTAACCAAGCATACATAAATTACGTCGGGAGGAAATAGGTCTAAGGATTACAATTTCTAACTTCTGAATTTAATTAGTGAAAGGGTTATATGTTAGAGTTAAACGAGATATTGTGTTTATGACAGTCTTGGGCTTACATGAAATAACACTATACAAACAATCCAGTTGAATTATGAAGATCGTTTATTAGTAATCGAGAAACATACAGACAATCTCGCCACTTAATTCTTGTAAAGTATACCAAATTTTAAAGCTGTGTCCAAATAACTGTATAAATTCAGTCACTTAAAAATAAATCTTAGAGACGAAGCTGTTTTGGTTTTTTCAGCTGAGAACCCGATCTAGCTAGTGCATGGCATTCAGCACCTTTAAGAATTTAGAAAAATCTGGAGCGCAAGACGTTATATGAGTGGAGAAGTATGAAGGAATATGACTCCCTAAATAGTTATTTTTATTAGCTTATCTTACTGGACAATTTAGGTGGCTGGTTTAAAAAGCAACATAGTTTGCTACGCAGAATTTCAACTTTCAGGAAGGTTTTACATTACACCACCGAAGTAACAATCGACGTGCGAAAAGAAAGCAGAAATAAAAACCGAAACTACAGGTATATTCAATCTTTTACAGAACTGTTGGGGTCGGCGAGTTGTGTTGAGCCAAAAGGTAAAACAACTGTTCAAACTCCTTTTTCATGAGACAAAATATTTCATGCCCCCAACTCCCCAATATATAACGTGAACACTAGGTTCCATGGTAAGACCATTCTCAACAGTCTCACATGAACACCAAGACCAGTGTTACCATTTAGAAAAGAGTTTGATTGAGAGCTTTCGCTCGTTCCGGAATCGAAATCCGAAAGCATATCGAAAAGCTAAATATTTCCAGAGTTACAACACCATATTTCATTTGGTACCATATAAAGTACCCACAAGCATGAACATACGAATAATGGACATGATATGAGACGAACGATTGGAAAAATGAGAAAAGTAACAAGTAAATGGAGGTTGATTTAAAGTATTAAGAATGTGACCTACGCATGACTCGAAACTAAGCTACAAAATATTAAGACTCTCCGTCGTCCTGGATTTTCGACAGACACTAGGTTTTTGGAGCGATAAACTTTTCATGACGAACAAAAGCATGAATTTCAACTACCCACAGTTGATATCGGCAGATATCTCTGATGGGAAGAACGCAATTAACTTAAGTTGAAAAAGAAATAATTTGTCAAATTTTAATCAGAAACACCTGTTATTATTTTTACGAGTTTTAAGACAACATGATAAACAACCAAGAGCAATAGTGGGACAGACTACCTGAGAAGATAAAAACTACTAACCTGAAACCGCCAATCTTTACAACTTAAATACCGCACATTTTCTTGTTATTGAGAGTGTTTGAAGGTTTGACCTTAATGTTTGTACTCTTGGTAAATATTTTCGATGTAAGAAGTGGAAAATATATAAATTGCAAAATTTTTGTTTATAGTGCAGGAAGGTAACTTGATAGAACATATGTACTCGGGGATCAAATATCAGAATTCCGTTCGTCATTTGTAGGTAGAAGGACAACGAGCTTTGTTAATCTTTTTGTGTGTATTTAATGTATTTCTAAGTGAGTCATAAAACTTCAGAACTTCAGTCATTCTTGAATAGTATTTTGAATTTTTACCTAACTCAAAGTGACAGAAAAATCCACTGGTAATTGTTAGACAATATTCGTTAGGCTGAAGATGTGTCGGATTTATTCATTAGTGTTTCTCAAGAGTGATATTAAAGGCATGGCATTTTATTTCAACAGTAGCACATCACTGATTGAACCTGAGTCTAAAGTACAAGGAGCCCACTCTTCTCTCTTTAGTGATAAGTATTACTTACACTTGTCACAAATCTGAAAAAAATTCATGGGTCCTGATGATATCCATCTAAGAATAATGAAAGTTCTTGCGCAATCGATTGCTGTACCACTTATATTCCTTTTTAGTACTTCTCTAAAGTTTTCGACGCTGCCAACAGACTGGAATAGTGCATTGTGCAGTCCAATTACCTTGAAGTGGAACATTTCTACGAAGAAAACTGGACTGGTGAAACATTTTTTATTGTAGTCGTTTTGTTTAACTGTACCGAAAGCACTAACTTGCGCACAACGTTCTTTTACGCGTTCCTGCCATGTTTTATAACCTCATGATCGATGTAACGCCTATGTTCTCCTTCAAATAAATATTTAACCATGGATTTATTTCTATAATATGTGACGGGATAGTAGTGAATATTTAGTGATGATCATAGTCAATCTCGACTCGGTCACCACTAAAATTGGTGAGCTGACGTTTCGTCCAAGAAAGTCGATTACGGTGAGTCTATTATTCATCTATCAACATTTTTATGGTGTTGCGATACTATTATTAATGTCCTTTAATATATATTATACTTACAACAACGTTTCAAAATGGTGCATAGCTATAATAATAGACTCTGAAGTGCAGGTCATTGCATTTTCACCTGTCTCTTCCCCCGTCACTAGAGGGTGTTAGTCTGTTTTATGTGCACGATTTTTGCACTAACGCTAGGTACTTGGTGGCCACAAGTGCCCAAGTTTCTGTCGTATCGTTTAGTAGCAGCAAGTCACAAGCTACGATGCTTCAACTACGCGCTGCTAAAAGTCATTCCTACCTACAGGACACGACAGTTAACTATCAACCTGAATAATGGACGACAGTACCTATGGACGTCCATCCCTGCTGATGTTCCCATAGCCGTACTCGGTATCCATTCCTCATTGCTCTATGAATTGCTATTCGATTCACGTAGGCTGCAGTTATTCGATACTTCCTCTAATATCAAATCCATGGGTTTTAACGCGCAAACAGATGTGTACCGAATCACTTATGTATTTTTTGCATTATTATTTATTTCATATATAGTTGACAAATTCCCGGAAGTAACGACACCGAAGGGGGTTCAACTGGTGATTTATTATGTGGTAAGCCACATCGTCAGCCGCAGACCCCCAGTCACGGCAAAACCTCGACGACTGGCACTGTACAATTTAGTTTTCGCTTAGCGTGAGTTTGACAGTTTACTTGCTATATTTATTACTTCGCCTTTCTCACAGTCCTTAAGACTCCTCTCTCCCCTCGGTTTGCAATAAGATGGCATTTTTCGGAGACGAAACGGTGATTACGGAGCAGCAACGACCGACATCGAATGTACCGCCTCAGAATCTGTATGCGGCACGACATTGCATCTGCCTAGGGAATTTTTCGCACTACGGAGCAGCGATTTTATGCATATAAGATAACGTCCAATGACTGTCTGCTTAGATGCGAATACTTCCTCCGGTATGAACTCGAACATAGCATCGACAGGTCGCTCTCCCTCGAGAGTTATTTACCTGTCCGCATGTTTTCTTACTAGTAGAGCCTTATGAAGGATATTTTCACGCGATGTCTCATAGCGAAGATTCCTTCAAGGTTGATGGACACAGTCAGCAACGATCGTCTCAAACTAGCACACGTAAATGACCGTGTCCTGCTCTGTACATCGAGATTCACTGCTGTACTCGTCCAACTCGCTAGCGGCATCTTTATTTCTCCTTCGGATTCCACTCCAGGTGCATTAGAGTTTTCATCCTCACGTCCCAGTAAACAGCACGCGTCATCTGCACTATCTCCAGATGAGACTCCAGTTTCACGTCCAGATCAGCAGACTACGCCGCCTTTGATTTCGGATGAGATAACAGGCTCAGTAGGTACGCGCGAGACTACCGTCTCGCGTTCCGTTCACTGTGTACGATTGCCTGTAGGCTGTCGTGAATAAAATCTTAATCACAAACGGATACGGCATAGGACATTATCCTCATACCAAATGCATGCTACACTTTTCTCATTTGCTGTCGCTTTCTTTCCTAAGCCCATCACCACGACTATCGCCCTGTTGGTACCGTTGACTTCAGTCAATCTTAGCGAAAGCTGGAGTGGCTCCTGAATTCGGAAGAAGAGTTCTAGAAGTTTAGATACGCACCTTTCTCAGTTAATCCGGCAACAAAGCAATTAATCTGGGTAAGAAACGGTTCTATTATTAATTAAAAAGTACAGATAGTTACCTAAACAATTTTACACCGTTCTCCCTCAAAATTAACACAATGTTTCCGATTCTGGAAGAATGCTTCCGTTTAGGTCCAAAATTGCACCCTTCCAGTCCAGACGTGCGTTTCAGCCACTAGGGTATCAAATCCGATATGTCCGACGCCATAATTAGGTATCAATTTAAACAACATAATACAGTTCAGCAGAAAACATAGAAACTCCAATAAAGGTGCAACAAATAGAAACTATAACAAAATAAAAATATTAACATTGCGAAATAAGATTAAACAGAGTGCCAGGATGTAGCATAGAAAGAGTCAGTAAGAACATATTACAAATATATACATGGAGGGATTTCCCCAAAACAAAACCTTCAAACTGGATTCTACACCGCCTCGCAAAATCCCTCCATTTAAAGCAAAGGCCCTTAAATGCCTCAAATCATGGTCCGAACTCAACCTAATCCACAACAGAAGAGAGAGTAGGACCTACAGCAGTACGCCTTCCCGCCCTCCCACATGGATATGACCTAACAATCTCACTATGTAAATGTACCTTCCCATCAGGTCTTTGATTCTTCTCTCTATCGTAGTATGACCTAAAGGTCGTATAAAGTTCATCCAGTTAAACCACATGAACATCAGTGACACGTCATAGGGCTGGTCACATCCTATTCGGATTTTACTCCCCATATTATAAGGAGGATGAGTTTTCAATCCACCAAACGGCCGACATAATAAAGTCAATGATGCCGACTTATCAACAGAAGTTCTTGAACCATAATTAATACGCAAGTGTATAATCTCCAACTTCAACATTTCCTTGCCTCCTAAAGGCTCGGAATGACGCAATGTAGTTACGAGATTTGATTCTCCATCTCCTAGTACAGAGAAGGTTTGGTCAGCTTTCATCATCGTCGACAAATCGTTTGACTCAATAATGACATCAAGATTATAATCGTTGTCATGATTCATATTTGTCGGACCAGTCATCTTGTTTCTGCTATCACTAGCAAATATAGAGTCGAACACTTCCATTGTTTGTAAGTCACTCCGCTAGTTGAAAGAACAGCATTAGTACAGAAATTCGAAACAGGTAAGCTCACTTGTTGTTCTTCATGTTTCATTTCAGAAACACAAGTCATGTGCTTGTCAGTATTATCTTTATCCTACAACACAGGAGACTGGCAGTAACCAACAGACACTATCTTCTTATCATCACCAAACTGACTGTCAGTCGTAGAAGAAACAGTTACAGTTGCACAACTTTGAGCATCCTCAATCAACTTGACATTTGCTGCAGGGTTCAAAGACGACAAAACACCAGGAGGTTCATTGGCTGAAGTAAATTGACTAGTCACTATGGGTGGATTGCTCACACTTACGGTCTCACTACAACTGCCAGCACTACTATAATTATGGTGACTACTATCCTCATTAATAGTGACAGCATCCGAACGAGAACGACGTTTACGCTTCTAAATCGGAGTGGCATCATCCACATATTGTTTCTTCTCTTTCGCACCTTTAGCAGAAGTATGTGAACGTAGTGTACGCCCTGTAGGATTTAATTTGTCCTACAGATGTAATTCTAAAACGTAAACTCAAATACCACCGATGACAGAGTCCCAAGTGAAACTTTAGTTAACAGAAGACAATTCGGTTTTAAACTTTATCTGTTTCTAAACAAAAAGAAAACGATTAATTTAGTACAATAAACAAGGAAATTACAATTATCAAGCAGGATGAGCAAACGTACCGGACAGTATAGCGTGTCTTTAGAAAATGAATAAAAAACATGAGTCACAGCAATATAAATAAAATGATAACATCCTTCAATCGATGGACCATTCACAACAAAGAAAGTTTATACATCAGTCAGACTAGATGACGTGGTGAGCGCTTAACCAATCTGATTGGTTAGTTATGACATAACTACAATTAGTCATAAAATAACTAACACTCCCCCCGAAGCGGTCACCACGTCCAGACCTCGTTATTGCGGCGTTCAAGTAGTCAGCTTCCTCTAGTAGGCATAGGTTCCGTAGCCATCTACTCCAGAATAGATCAGCCAGTTTTTGAGCTTCAATGATCCAGAACTCTTCGCGAAGACTGTTCATGGTATGAGTAATACCAGAATGTGCGTTCTGTAGATGGAAGTGCATTACGATTAGGTCGGTAACAAAGTGCTTATTAGGAAGTATGAGTGGATGTTTGCTTTCGAAAGGTAAGCACGATAGTTGAAGTCGTCCTCCTACTCTAATCATGTTATCTACTCTCATTCTTTTACCAGCAGATATTAACTGGGGTATCATTTCCTTATTCGAAGCAAATCCATCTACTTTCGTCGGTCTTTCTCGAGATTCATATTTGTTGCCGCTCTCTTCATCATGCTGTATTTGCTTTAGTGCTTCCATCTCCATAGGGAATGAGACCATTTGAACCAATTTGATTATATCCTGTTTCGCGCTATCGATTTCTTCCAGTCTCAACCTACCATAAACTAATGGTCTTCTGTCTAACTTCATCCTCATATTACGGGCGAACCGTTTACATAAAGCGAATATTCTCATCATTCTGAACCATGTCTTACAATCACTAAATCGATTCAAAAATTGGTCTGAGCAACTCTTCGTTGATGTCTCGCCTAGTTCTTCTATCGACAAGTGAGCTAAAACATGTTTCTCTTCTTCGGGTGGAGTCGGCCAATTACTTTCGTCTTGCCATAAAAATTTCGGTCTACGGAACCACTCATTTAGTTTGATGCTATCGTCTGACGACAAACCACGTGAAGCATAATCCGCAGGGTTATGTTTACCTTTAACGTATCTCCATTGCTTTACCGTAGAAAGTTCATGAATCGTTGCTAACCTGGTGTTCTCAAATCTTTTGGTTGTATTTCTTATGTAATGATATACAATTAATGAATCCGTCCAATAAGTGACAGAGGAGATAGGGATACGCAGTTGTTGTTCCACATGTTTTACGATTTTAGCACATATTACGGCCGCCGTTAATTCCATCCTGGGCATAGTGACAAGTCTTAGAGGAGCAACCCTAGATTTAACTAGCAGAAACGAGCAGTGAGACTGACCTGAAGCGCCTTCATATCGAATATACGTAACAGCACCAAACGCAAGCTCTGCAGCATCGGCAAAACAATGGATTTGAATGGATAATGGTTCAAACTTTGGTTTTAGACATCTTGCTATTCTTAAGTGACCCAACTCCTTTATATGTCTACACCAAACATTCCACTTCGCTTGACAATCTATGGGCAGCTCTGCGTCCCAGTCTAATTTCTGCCGACAAGTGTCTTGAAGGATTATTTTAGCTGGTAGTATTGCGGGGGCTACGAACACAATGGGATCAAATATAAATGCTACGTACGACAAAATATTTCTTCTGGTTAGGTTTCCATCAAGCTCGTGAACTTTGAGACATGATTCATCCGCTCGGATATCCTGCTCTACTCCCAGCGTTCGTTTACTCATCTCGTTGGATCCGCATAGGGTAATGTTTTCCTTTATTTCATCACTTTTCTGGCAAAATTAAATGGATGATACCGGTGGGGATGCTACTGTAGCTTCCGCTGCATAATTTTCGGTTCTTATAGAATTATGTTGTGAATTAAGACCACACCTGTTCTGATGGTTTGACCTGATGGTGAATGTTTGACTCAAAACAGATACAGAACTGTCAAATCCATGTGGACATGTGTCGTTCTCTTCGATAGCTTTTCTTTTCAATTCACGACGTCTTCGACAGGCTTCGTGAAACTGGAAAACACTCTTATCACAAACCATCCCATCCTGTTCGATGATTCCATCAAATAATGTTGGAAGAAAAGTCTTCTTGCCTTCTAAGACAGAGAAACCACTTGTACTTACATGAGTAGGACGTGACCGATAGCGATGTGTTTCAGGATCCGAAGTGCGGTCTATTGACTTGCTTTCTGACACATTTGTCCTTATTCTTTTAGCTTGAGATGTTCCTGATGCAGAATCATTGCTACTACTACATGAATACTGCAGATCAAATTTACTAGGGATTTTATTTGTGGATAGTGTACCTTGCTCTTTACAGAATTTTAAGACATAATCGATTTCGTACTGAGTTGCTTTGCGTAACTTGCTGACGGGTGTCCATTCTACAACGCGATCCCAAATATAACGTAGGCGATACTCTGCTCTTGTACCATGTCGCTGACGATGGGCTAGAACCTCAGCAAGATATTGGAAGTCGTTGCGCCATGCAGCCATTACATAACTACCCACCTCATTAATTGCAACCATTCTCAAAGTTCGTGAGTCAACTAGAGCAGCAGGCATTTGTAACCAACTGAGAGTATTAATCAACAGTCTGCCATCATACACTAAACGTACTACTTTCCTTGACCTGCAGAGAGATTCGTTATTCTTTTCAGCACCGTTGTTGTGTACATCATTTAACTCGAAATGAAAAGGTCCATGATTATTACACCTCTGTTCATTAGCATCGGAATTATGAGCTCGGCAATGCTGTCGAATAACTGGCATTTCTCTTTCACCTGCAACTAGGTCGACTTCCGCTAAAGTTAACGTTTCTTTCCGTTTATCTTCAACTACTTCCTTAGCAGAATCTTCTAGATTTTTCGAATCCTTACAGTCTGTCTGTGAAGCTGTAACAACTTTAGCCAATGCAGTAAAAGGACACGAAGCAGAATCATGACTTGTAGATGATGATGTCCATAAATTAACCGAAGCATCTTTCGACACATCAGCATTCACAACGCTTGATGAAATATTTGATCCGAGAACACAATCAGATGGAATGTCTTTCTTAGCTATATCAAAACTTGAAAGAACGGTAGATGAATTAGCTAATTCTTTCCACGGCCGACACAATAAAGTCAATGATGCCGACTTATCAACAGAAGTTCTTGAACCATAATTAATACGCAAGTGTATAATCTCCAACTTCAACATTTCCTTGCCTCCTAAAGGCTCGGAATGACGGAATGTAGTTACAAGATTCGATTCTCCATCTCCTAGTACAGAGAAGGTTTGGTCAGCTTTCATCATCGTCGACAAATAGTTTGACTCAATAATGACCTCAAGATTATAATCGTTGTCATGATTCATATTTGTCGGACCAGTCATCTTGTTTCTGCTATCACTAGCAAATATAGAGTCGAACACTTCCATTGTTTGTAAGTCACTCCGCTAGTTGAAAGAACAGCATTAGTACAGAAATTCGAAACAGGTAAACTCACTTGTTGTTCTTCATGTTTCATTTCAGAAACACAAGTCATGTGCTTTTCAGTATTATCTTTATCCTACAACACAGGAGACTGGCAGTAACCAACAGACACTATCTTCTTATCATCACCAAACTGACTGTCAGTCGTAGAAGAAACAGTTACAGTTGCACAACTTTGCACATCCTCAATCAACTTGACATTTGCTGCAGGGTTCAAAGACGACAAAACACCAGGAGGTTCATTGGCTGAAGTAAATTGACTAGTCACTATGGGTGGATTGCTCACACTTACGGTCTCACTACAACTGCCAGCACTACTATAATTCTGGTGACTACTATCCTCATTAATAGTGACAGCATCCGAACGAGAACGACGTTTACGCTTCTAAATCGGAGTGGCATCATCCACATATTTTTTCTTCTCTTTCTCACCTTCAGCAGAAGTATGTGAACGTAGTGTACGCCCACCATGATGTCGACCAGTGTCTTTTGATGTCCCTCGATTACTATTAACCGCAGGACTATTTTCAATACTATTATCTTTAGTAGCCGTAGTAGTAGAAGTATTCCTTCCATGACAACTATTCGACTCTTGTGCAATATCCAACCTAACTTGACTAACATTACTTCCATCATCACGAATGTTATTCACCTCATCTGTCTCATCACTGCTGGTAGTACTCATCCCGAAACTTGTGGTACAAGTCGGTGATGTTGGAGTGTGACAGGTGGACAATTCCATGTTAGATTCCTCATGCTGGATATTTAACACAGCGGCATGTCCATGAAACCCTAGATGACTCCTCACTGCACCCAGAACACTGATTGTGTGCCTGCTCTGTACGGCCATTACTGTGGCTGACGCTATTGCCACCATCGCTTACATTCTCCACGCCCAAACACCCAATCTTGTCATAAACTGAAGTACTCGATGAAACTACACTAGTAATGTAGTGAAAGAGAACGCAGGTGGGGCAACCGAATTGTATTTAACGAAAATTACAGAGTTACTCAGCAAAATAGGAAAACCATATCGTAAATCGTTCATTTGCAAAATAACAGTTCATCATATCGAACTGGACTGTTCCTGTTGCCGAACATCAATCCATTGTCACTATTCATGCGTTTCATACAAATTCCATTGTTTTCTAACTCTTCCTTTCTTCATCTTCCCCCCATCTTCGGCTGCCAGACATTACGCTGACGCTCACGTCATATACTACTTATAAGTAGCTCGCACCACAGCACCACAGTAACAGTTGAGTGATCCTCACTACTTACAGCGACTCCACTCTCTTTACCATCACTGTTGTCACTTGCTTCTGTCAAACCATCAGTAAACGCTTGAGGTTTCACCTCACTCTTATAGTTGTTGTTATCCACAGGCGTATTTCGACGCTCCGTAGTTAATGACGAACTGCAAGATAGTCGGCTTGCATGACTTAAGGGTAAGTTACCACTGCTGCCAATTACACTAACACTATCAATACCGCTATGACCACTTGGACTAGTATGCGACTGTCTATCACCTGACTCCGAACAAACAAATGACTATTCCCCCTCTTATCATGTCCTGTTTTGGGTCTATTGGCTAATAGTCCAAATCTATTACTGGCTATGTTTGCACGGGACGATATAAACTCTGTGAGTTCGGCAAATGTGGGCTCTTTATCCCTATCAATCCATCTAACTGTCAGCTCTGCCCACTGCACTTGCATGCGATGAGGTAACAGTTTCACTATTTTTTCCAAATTTACTAAAGAATTCAAATCAATGATGCACTTCTTCTTCACCAACACCATGACGCAATTCTTCATTCTTATACCTAAGTTCGATAAATTCTTGGCGTCATTATGATCAACGTTCCCAGGATGAGACAGCTCTTCCAACGTTTCCCTAGCTATAACGTGAGATTGCCCGAATAATCTTTTTGGGATTTCTTTAACCCTTTTATAGCCCTTAGACGCTTCTAACATCACGCAACCGTCGATGGCTGTTTCAGCCTTACCCTGCCACTAGTGAATCAAATAGAGTAAACGCAAGCTATCGTCATCGACTCGAGATTCAACATAAGTTTCAAACTGACTCATAAATTTACAGGATCCACGAGGTTGTCCATCAAAGTAGCTTAACTCAACCTTTGGTAATTCTAAGCCTATAACCAAGACCAGGAGATGAAAATCTTCAAGACCACTAGGATTATCTTGTCAAATTAATCGTACGGAAACTTCTTTCTCCAAAGCCATAGTATCAATATCCAGTCAGTAGTATTATTCATTGGATTTTCAACATCCTCAACAAAAAAATAGAGAAGGGCATATTTCAGTGACTTCTCCAATATCTAATACGTTTCTTAGCTTCGTTAGTTATCCTTAGCGGACAATTAGTAAATCGACGTGATACTGAGCACAGTATAAACGGGATGTCACTGGGCTAAGTGTATCGTTAACTTTCGTCCGTGCTTCGTCAGTCGATAAACTAGTATTTAGTATCCAGTCTATTGTTGCAACATATTCCCGTATGACTGTTATGTTTACTTTCCACACATTTAGCAAAATCAAACCTGTCCATGTTCTATGTAACAAGCCCTGAACACGAATGAGAAGACGGAATAGTTACATTGGAACCGGAATAAGTGAGTTCGCCTACGTGCTTTACTTAAGCATGTTTCATTAGTCAACAAAGACCTACGGTCGAAAGAATTTCCAGATTCTACAGTGGACATCTGTACCCAATTGACTACAGACGCTGAATGTGTTCTTGAGTCAAGGCACCAACACAGCAGCCTGATCTGCGAGAGGTGACACCGAGTGTAAATTAGCTCACAGCTAGTGATGTTACAAGTCCAACCACTATGAGATTCAAAAGCTATGAAACGGATATGTATATTACTGTTGAGTACGTGCATGAGGGTCCTACCTTGTTTCTTTCTTCTTGGATGTCGTTCCATCAAAGTAGTGGGATAATCAAGTTTCGGATACAGCTATGATGAGTTACTTCAATTCATCCAAAAATAAACTTAAGAAAATTTACCGTTGAGATGGAAACTGGTGTGAGAATCAAGAGGACAACGGTTAGTTCTTGATATAAAAATCAAAAAGGAGTTAATCAGGGATAAAAATTCATCGAACATTTTAAAACGTGCGGAAGTGTCATCGGAGATATAAGTAAGTTTGCAAACTTTGTTGAATACTGTGTTTATTTAAGCTTATTTATAAGAATACTGCTCATGTTTGATATTAAATTACCGGAGAATATTATAAAAGGTATTTCTAATTACTTAAAGATTTTATGTTTTGATTATTCCCACTGAGCTATCGGAGAATCAGAGGTGACCTGATTATAGCGTACACCATATTAAACATGCCAAACCATCCCAATGTGAGCATCTTACCGATGCATCACCACCACTCCCCTCGAGGCAATCCTCGAAAGATTGCACATCAAAGAGCAAATACTCAAATTTGTGCACACTTTTTCTCATTGCGAGTCGTCGCAACTTGGAGATCTCTCCCAGCCGAGGTAGTTACAGCCCCCTTAGTGGACTGCTTTAAGAAGAGACTTGGTAATCACGTACTTACATACGGACTATCATCTCCCTCTTGGACAAGCTGTGCCTGATGCATATCTTGAGACCTGCTAGTTGTTACCATTGCCATCTCCGCAGATCACTCAATTAATCTATCTCGCCTATTATCTTTGTTTCCGTTCCCTTGCTAACCATTCGGTCCTCTCTCACAATCCGCACTACCAATTAATAAACTAAATTCATCTATATATTACTCAGTTCTGAAATTTTACTCATATTATCATTTTAATTCATCCTTATTACCCTTATTACTCTCTACATTGCAACTAACTGATCTCCGGTTTGGTAATGTGACGACTGCTAGTATCCAGAAACCCTACTGCCCTGAAACAAACGTTTCATTCAAATCCCGAGACATCAAACTCACAACCAACAGCCAACTGATTAGAATTAGACAGTCGAGTGGCTAGACCTCCATCCATTGGACATTACCGAACACCTGGAACCGTACCGAAAGAACAAGAATCGAGAGCGAAGAAATCAAATTAGTTTACACTAGCTCGTGAAAAAGATATTGGATATTGGATATTGAAGGTTATAAGATGGACCGCGTTGCTCAAAAGTAAATGTAGGTTTAAGAGTGGAGTATATTACATATTATGACTCTGTCCACTTATAAACTCGTATATTTTCATTCAAGTTACTTGTTTTGTCTCAATTAAGTGTTGGTGTCCACTCGTTTACTATTATGTAGCTACTGAAATTAAACGTTCCCTCAATGGACAGGTTTAAGCGGAGACTTGATAAACACGTACTCACATAAGGATTATCATCTCTCTCGTGAACCAGCTCTTCCTGAAGCATGTATTGAGACCTGTTGTTTCTACCACCATAGATCACTAATCTAGTCTTTATCGCATATTATCTCTGTTTCTTTTACTTAGTCTACTCTTCGGTCCTGTCACTCTATCCTCACTACCATTTAACAAACTTAATTTTGCGTTTGTTTAATTATTTCCGAAATCGTATTATTTTGCATATGACAACTAACTGATCTCTGGCCTGGTAACATGGTAGCTGCTGGTATCCAGAAACCCTACTTCCCCCAAAACAAACGTACTCATTCATATAACGGGACACATCCAAAAACGTTCAACTGACTAGAATTAATGAAGTCGAGGGGCTAGACCACCATCT